TTATAAAATATTTCAAAAACAACATAGAAATATCAAGAAGTCAATGAGCATCCCTCACCTTCTCTGCCTCATTCCCCAGAGATAAATACTTTGAGATGTATACTCTTCTAGATCTTTATGTTTATTAAAAAAATACATTATTATATATAACTACACAATTTCTTTAATCAAAACTAGGATATATAATTCTGCAATTTTTCTTTTGCACTTAGCATTTCATAGACATCTTTTCATATCTGTATACCTCTAATTCATCAATTTTTATTGCTGCATATTATTCCAAAATATGGATTTGTCATAATTTCCTAACCATTTTTGTTCAGAGTTTCTAATTTTTTAGTATTACAAACAATACTGTAATAAAAATCCTTAAACACATTAATTAAAACACCTATACAAATATTCTAAAGGATGGAATCTAAGAAAAGGAAGTGATTAAAGATTATATTCACCTTCTCTGCTGTTCCTTGAACTGCTAAGCAACCTATTTCATAGTCTATGATTAATGTTTCCTCTCCCCTAGATGTTTATGCATTATACCTTCTGTTTAATCTTCTCAGTGAGGGCGGCACTGATACCCTACTTCTGGTTGTCTCAATCCCCTTTCTCAGGTAATTTTTCTCCATAGCAGCTATTACCATCTATTATTTATTCAGTTAACTAAAGAAAATTGATATAATGTATACACAGTAAAATGTACAAATCTTAAATGTGCAACCCCAAATTTTACATGTATACATATACATACATATGCACACATCTTTGTAACCATGACAAACTAATATACATATTTTCAAAATCCAAGAGGGCTCCCTCATGAGCCTCCCAGCTAATAAAACCCTTCCAGGAGTGGCTGCTATTCTCACTTCTATCAGTACAGATTGGTATTTTGCCTGTTACTGAACTTTACTCCCACAGAACACCTGCTACGTATTCTGATGTACTCAATTACTTCATAATCTGTTCTGCCCAACAGAATGCAAGCATCGTAAGGGTTTGGTTTTATCTGCCTCACTCACTGCTGTACCCATGGTGTAGCTATAAATAGGACTTGCAACATAGAAGGTGCTCAATAAATATTCACTGAATGAATAAATAATCAAAATAGCATCATCTTCTTGAAACTTTGATGGGCAAAATTTATTTTTCGGTAGAATTACTGTCCTCATTATTACAAATACCTATGGAAGTAAGACATTCACAATGAAGCCTAAAACTTGGGTAGACTGTCTGTTCTATCAGTGATTGAATAAGGATCAGAATCTATCACTTTCTTATGCTCTGTGAAAGATACTATTAAGGGAATAAAAGGGCAAATCAAAGAGTGGGGGAAAAGATACTTGCAAATCACACATCCATCAAAAAAGTATATGTAGGGGCACCCGGGTGGCTCAGTCGTTTTAAGTCATCTGCCTTTGGCTCAGGTTATGATCCCTGGCTCCTGGGATCAAGCTCCATGTTGGACTCCACACTTAGCATGGAGCCTGCTTTCCCCTCTCCTCCCTGCTGGTGCTCTCTTTCACTATCTCTGTTTCTCAAATAATAAATAAAATATATTTTTTAAAAAAGTTTATCTAGAATATATAGTTTTAAAAAAACAAGAGCAAGAAACAATGAACTTAAATTTGAATAGACATTCATCCAAGATACAATACTCAACATAATTAGTCATTAGAGAAATGCAAAGTAAATCCATGATAAGATAAAACACACCTATTAGAAAAGCTTACAAAGAAACAAAACAAAATGGACAGCACCACATATCAAAAAGGATGTGAATGACAGGAACTTACAAATATTGCTAGTAGGGATACAAAGTGGTTCAGACACTCTGGAAAACAATTTGGCAGTTTCATATAAAGCTAAATATACACTTACCATATGACCCAGCAACCCCACTGTGGGGTTTTTACCCTACAGAAATAAGAACTTAAATCCACACAAAAATGTGTAAATGAATTTTCTGCAGTAGTCTATTAATAAAAAACAAAAACGAAACACAACTACCAGAAACAATCCAGATCTTCAATGGGTGAATGACTACACACAAAAAGGAATTAACTACTGAAAAACACAGTAACTTGGATAAATCTCAAATATATTACTGTAAAAAAACAATCTCAGAAGGTTACATAACAAAGGATTCCGTTTATGAGACATGGCAGAAAGGATAAAACTATGGAGGTCAGAGAATAGACCAGTGGTTGCCAGGGATCGGGGGAAGGAGGTTAGATTACAAAGGGGTAGCACGAGCAAGATTTTGGGGTAATGGACTATGTGGTGGTGGTTACATGAATCTACACATGTGCTAAAACTTACACAACACACACACACACACACACACAAAACCAAAACCCAAATACTACGTTATTTTAAAAAACAAAATACCCCCTTTTCTCCCCCCAAATCTTTCTCTCCTTTTTATCCTGAAGTTTTCATTCTTCTTTTTCCTCTATATTTCCTTTTCCCTTATTCATAATCTTCTAGATATACAAAATGTTCTTATTTTCTCAAATATGCCATGATCTCTCTTGATTTCAGGTCTTTATTCATACTGATGGTCCACAGTGAAAACCACTCTCTTGGCTAATTCTTATTCATTCTTTTGGCTTCAATAAATTACTTCTTCTAAAAAGCCTTCCTTACTTTTTGTTCCCAGGCTGGATTAGATATTCTGTCATATAATCCCACAGTATTCTGTACTTTTCCCTTCATGTCTTCACATATTTAATTGTCAATACATGCTCCATTTCCTTCTCCCCCACCATCCTGCAAGCTCCATGAGGGCAGGAATAATTGATGTTTTTCTCACTAAGCAACCTTTAGCACCAACACTGTGGAAGGCACCTATCAGACCCACCTCAATGAATGCTCTAAACCCTGTTTATATTTTGCAGATTGCTATAAATAACTTTCTACTTTCTGATTTTCAATCTACATTTTGAAGGCAGTCAGAAAACATCTTACCTAATTTTTCCAAATAAAATATTATTTCAAACACACTTTCACTTGTGACAGTGAGTTAAAACTTAAGTATTCTCTTTATGTTTACTCTCCCTTCCACTTTTTTTTTTCCTTTTCCTTTTTGTTCAGGGTGTTGTAAAATTTCCCTTCACATTCAATGAACATCTGCATGTTTTCCTCTTGAGTTCTTGGTATCCACACACAATAGAAACATCCTTTCCTGGCATTTCTTATCAGTACAAATACATTTCTAAATACCTTTGATCACTTAAAATTTAAATTAATTTAATGTTACTCTACATTTATGGCCTTCTTAGAAAGGGTTTTATAATCTAGTAATTTAAACAACAACAAAAATCCTAATCAAATCCTCAATCAAATCAAATCAAAAATCCTTAATCAAATCAATAAATAACATTGTTAATTATGTAGGAGATCCAGCATGTCACTTAAATTAAAAAAGAAAAGTCTTAACACTCTTTGTACTTCACTGATAGCAGTCAGTGAGATCAGACACCAAAGTACACTACCTTTACAAAACTGCTAAGAACTAAAATGACTGAATTTAGTAATTTTTTTTAAAAAAGATTTTATTTATTTATTTCACAACAGAGAGATCACAAGTAGACAAAGAGGCAGGCAGAGAGAGAGGAAGGGAAGCAGGCTCCCCGCTGAGCAGAGAGCCCTATGCGGGGATGGATCCCAGGACCTGGAGATCATGACCTGAGCCTAAGGCAGAGGCTTAACCCACTGAGCCACCCAGGAGCCCCTAGTGGTCTTTTTATTGTTAACCATAGTTTACTTCACATATGTAAAGCTCCACAGTTTTAAACTTTATAATGATAAAAAAACAAAATCGAGTTATACAAATATTGAACACTATGTTACATCTTGGAGAACTATGTTAAAATATAACAACCCCCAAACAGGGATTGAGTGGGGATGGAGCACATTTTAAAGAAAACAAAAAGTTCAAGAGAGCCTTACCTACACATTTTAATAGGAATCAGACAGATTACCAAGTTATAAGCATTCAGAATTACCAGATACAGTCAGGTGAGGAAAGCAAGTCATTTGGTTTTTTAAAGAAGGGACTGACATAAGCTTTGTGAAATGTAAGAATTAATACTCCTCTCTAGAAGAACATGGGCAGGTGAGGCCCTCAACAATAAAACTACTTCATGGAACAGAACACTGAATGTGTACATTAAAATAAATTTAAAATATCTATCTAAGGAAAACTTAACTCCCTTTTAGGCTGTTATTCTTATTAGGCCTGGCAATTTGTCCCAAAGAGAATATAAAACCTATTACCAATTCAACCAGTGATTACGCATAATTCCACTTTTCACTGGTCATGTAGAAAAGCTGTACTCCAGGTACTTCTAAAGAACTATAACCTCTTGATGAAGAGATCATGACAGGAATCTAGTTAGAGACACACAAATGAAGGATAGCCACTTAGAAATATGCCGACAACAGCAGAAAAGGGTTTCTGGAAGCAACAAAGTTCGACACAATAAAGAAGTTGTTACAGAGTGCTGTGTGAAAGAAGCCAATGACTGTAAAATCCATCTTAATAAAGGGATTTGTGGCAGAGGAGAAACACAACCAAAGTATGTTAATATATTTCATTCTGTGCTTTATAAATAAAAATTTATAATGATGTCACCAAATGATGAAAACAACACAAGCCTCACTGAGGTGAAAGCATCTTTTATAATGATGATGAATGCAAAAAACTCTACTTTTTCTATATAGTTTTATTATCTCTTATGGTCTGCAAAAATTACCTTTATAACATAGAACACTAGCTTGAAGAAAAATAACATGAAAAAACCCACTTCAACCATTCCTCCTCTCTTCAGGTATTAAATCTTAAGTGATTGTGAAAATACTTCTATTCGGTGCAACTATGTTGGCAGCACTCACTAGTTATTCCATTTGCTTAATCCTAACAGCGCATTAAATAAAAACTTTCATACTGAGTAAACGAAGCCTAACTCAACAACATCAAATTAGTTCTCTTTACTTACCCTTGCATAGTGGAATTCAACTCCATAGAGTTCTAAGGTACGTGCTGTGTTCAGGTAATTAAATTCTGCTTCTGCAGGAGATAAACCTCTGTAAAGACATTATGTTTAAAATTAAACCAACCACAAATATGGCCAAATTAGAAAAAAAGCTTATTTACCCAGAAAAATTTTAGCATTCTAGTTGAACCTTTTATAATACACCATGCATGACTATTCCTCTTAGTTCTGCATAGTAAGATCTAACTTACCTGGAGAATACATTTTCAGGACACAAATCATTATTTTGTAGAATATTTTATTTTCCAGAAATATTATATTTTGTAGAATATTTTATTTTCCAGAACGCACCAGGGGATGTGGAGAAAAAGGTACCCTTGTGCACTGTTGGTGGGAATGCAGACCAGTGTAGCCACTGTGGAAAACAGTATGGCGGTTCCTCAAAAAATTAAAAATACCAAATGATCTAGTAATTCCACTAATGGGTATTCACCCAGAGAAAATGAAAACACTAATTCAAAAAATATATATATATGTACCCCTATCTTTACTACAGCATTATTTATTAACAGCCAAGATATGGAAGCAAGTCAGCATCCACTGACAGATGAATGGATATGATGTGGTTTACATACATATTATTCAGCCATAAAAAAGAATGAGATCTTACCATTTGTAACAAAAGGACCTAGAGGATATTATACTAAGTGAAATAAGTCAGACTAAGAAAGACAAACACCATATGATTTCACTTATATGTGAAATCTAAAAAATTAAGAAACAAAAAGCAGAAACAGACTCAGAAATACTAAGAAAAACTGATGGTTGCCAAAGGGGATAGGCAAAAATGGATGAAAGGGAATGGGAGATACAGGCTTCCAGATCTAGAATGAGTTAATAATCATGAGGAAGCACGAGGCACAGCATAGGGAATATAGTCAATGGTATTACAAAAGCATTGTATGGTAACAGATGGTAGCTACATTTGTGAGTGTAGCATAAGGGACAGATTAGCTGAATTACTATGTTATACACCTGAAATGAATATAACTGTATAACTGGCAACTATATTTAAAAAAAAAAAAAAAAAAAAAGGACGAGGTTTTATAAGTCCCTATTTGGGACGCCTGGGTGACTCAGCTGGTTAAGTGGCTGCCTTCAGCTCAGGTTATCGTCCCAGGGTCCTGGGATTGAGTCCCACTTCAGGCTTCTTGCTATGCGGGCAGTCTGCTTCTCCTTCTGCCTGAAGCTCCCCCTGCTTATGCTTGCTGTCTCTCTCTCCCTTGTTCTCTGGCGAATACATAAATAAAATCTTTAAAATAGGGGCACCTAGGTGGCTCAATGGGTTAAAGCCTCTGCCTTAGGCTCAGGTCATGATCCCAGGGTCCTGGGATCAAGCCCCACATCAGGCTCTCTGCTCAGCAGGGAGCCTGCTTTCACCCTCTGCCTGCCTCTCTGACTACTTGTGATCTCTGTCAAATAAATAAAATCTTTTTTAAAAATATCTTTAAAATAGATAAATAAATAAATGAATAAATAAAATCAATAAATAAATATCCCTAGCTGTTCTTATGGCTGATAAAGTCATTTACTCTCTGACTTTTTAAAAGAAGTTTTTTTCAAAAATTTCAGAATTTGGTCCATATACTTTATCTGCATTTAAATCACACAGTTGCTGCTAAAACATGCAAATTTTGAGATAACTTCCAAAGTAGTGCTTCTTAGAGTATGGTGTACAGTCATGTGTTGATTCATAACACGTATAGAAACGGAGAGAGTCAGAGTCTTTTATATTTCATAGCATTCTGGCAGAGTAATTTCAAGTCTATCGAATCTAATAAGAAAAACAAAGACTTGTAATTTTTTATGTCTCTGTCTATTCTACTTTCCTAGTAATTCAATTTTATTATATCTTTCAGAAGTTTCATTCCATGACAGATTGGGGAAAAATCAGTCTTTCAACAAAGACAGGCTTAGAAGTACTGCTGTATACAATCTGATATAGAAAGGATGACATCCAAATTGTTTATATTTAAGAAATGTCCCAGGTGATTTCTTATGAACACAAGTTTGAGAACTACTGCTCTAGCAAAGGCTTTCAAAACAGATTTACTCCTATATTATATATGCTTCTAACAACTTTTGTTATCTGATATTATTAGACTACAGCAGAGCCAAAACAACAAATTACAAAATTACAAACATATCAACCTTTCACTCACTAATGATACCAGAAAAGGAAGCCAACAGCCTGCCAATTAAAATCATTAAAAATGGGATTCCTAAAACAAGCACATATACCTCAATTTTCTGTAAAATTCAATGAAGTTAAACAAATACTCTACCTCCCCACCCCACACCCTATTCCTCAGTTAAACTGGATGATTCTATTTTTTGTTTAATGATCTGAGGAATCATTTCTTTAAACCAAATATAATATATAACCAATATTTTGTCAAACTTTTTCCTTACGGAAGGGATTTTTCCATTACTGGCAAATTTATTAAAAAATTTGGTTTATCTTTAAATGCTTGATTTGGATATACTATGTGTAAAACTTTTATTATAAATGGCATTTTTTCTGTTAGACCAAACAGCCCCCTCACCAACATTAGGCCAGTCTACCGAAATTCTCATCTTTTTAGTCTTATTTTAGATTGAAGGTCAGCAAATTGTTATTGAAAAGAGCTGAGCAGTAAATACTCTGGGCTTTCAGGTCACACGGTCTCGCTATTTAACTACTCAACTCCACTGCTAAATGAAAGCAGTCACAGATATGAGGACAAATAAGGGAACCTATGCTCCGATAAGTGTTCATATATGGACACCAAATTGGAATTTCTTAAAATTTCACATGCCACAGAATGTTATTCCTCTTTTTGTATTTCTCTCAAACAGTTACAGTGTACAGATCATTCTTAGCTCATGGGCCACACAAAAATAGGCAGTGGGCAAGCTTGCCAACCTGTTTTAGATATATGGGCCATTACCAAATGAAAGTTAAGTTTCTTAATATTAAGAACTAATATTTCTTTAATGCTTACCTAATGTGCTGGGCACTGTTCTGAGTACTTTGTATACATAAACTCACTTAATCCTTACATTAACTCCAGAGATAGATACTTTTATTACCTCCAATTTACATATAACAAAATACAGAAACAGAGATAGAAACCAATGTGGCCAAGATTGTAAGATAGTTAAGTTGTCTTAACCAGAATTTCAGACTAGGCATCTGGCTCTCTAGTTCAAACTTTTTCTTAGCCGATGAGCAACACTGCCTTAGTCCCACCATTGAGCATTTTGAATTGCATGTTAAAGCAAGAGTAAACCAATAAACAATATTATTTTCTATTCAATGCAAAAAATCTCTTCTTGAAACAAATTATGTCACAGAAAATTAAGAATCACAAAATATCAAAGTTGAATATTGTTATGAATGAAAAAGTTCTACTTATTAAAGGACTTTTAATTATTAACTTAATATTACATCAGGTTACTTTTTTCCTCTTGGCTCATTACCCAACAAATGATTCCTTTCACATAGCTAAAAACTAAGAAAGGATTACTAAGTAGACTGATCTATAACAACTGATCTGTGAACATAATACTATTATTCTAAAATTCCTACTTAAAGAACTGTCAACTTTACATAATAGCAATTTTTTTCTTAACTTCCTTCCTTCCCTCCCTCCCTCTCCTTCGTTCCCTCCGTGTCCTGCTTCCCTCCCACACTTCTTTCTTTCCTTCCTTCCCTCCTTCCCCCACCCCTCTTTCTTTCAGTAGGCTCCATGTCAGCTTGGAGCCCAACATGGGGCCTGAACTCACAACCCTGAGATCAAGACCTGAGTTGAGACTGAGAGTCAGAGGTTCAACCAAGTGACCCAGGCACCCCAATAGAAAATTTGTTTACATAGTTTTGTGGTTCTCACTAGAAATGAAAGAAAGCCTCATATAATTCTATGAAATTAGCAATGATTTTTTTTTAGTATAGAAAACCCACATTTCCTTACATTAATCCTAAAATTTTACATAATAGTAAACTGTTCTGTATTAATTAAATATAACAATCACATTAGAAATAATTTGAAACATTTCTCTAGAAAAGATGCGCTTGGGAAGTTTATGAAATAAGCAGAAAAATAAACAAATCCTTACGTATGTTGCTGATGTAATTTTGCAATTTCTTTTTCAAAATCTTGAGGTTGGTCAGGAATGAAAGAATAATCTGAGAGGTAGCCTGGCAAGTTTTCTGACTGATTGTAGTCTCCAAGTTCAGCTATTACATGGAAGGAAAGTAGTCACAATTTAATAAACACATTTTCTAATTCTAATAGCCAAAACAGCAACGTCGTGAATTCCATTATATTTCTGGAAGTAAAATATTTGTTTAACTGCTAGCTACCATGTAATCAAGTTATAACAACACACTTAACATTCTTCTAGGTTTCAAACAATGTAGAAGAACTTTTTTCCCAGAAATCTAAGTAATTGCTAACTAGCTGAATTTCTATTATATTTCCTTTGCAATCACTTTTTTCTGTATAGTAACTTATGTCTAAAGAACTCTTGTATTAAAGGCCCTGTATTTTCAACATAGACCATGCAATCACAGGCTACGTGACTCAAGAGAGGATTCAGACTTACACTGAACAGCATATGAAGCCAAAAGGGCAGCAGTATTGTAAGGACAGGGCAATCTAATAAAACAAAACAGAAAATACATAACCCAAGGTTAAACACAATAATTTCAAAAGCACTGTAATTTATATACTATTCACATATGAAGTTCCATGACTTACATTTTTAACTATTAACTAATGAACTTATTTGATGAAAAAAATTCATAATGCATGTAACCATCTTTCAATAGATACTTTGTTTGCAATGATCATGAGTTACTTAAGTAATACACAATTAAAAGTACTTTCAAAGTCCATTATTAAAAATTTAAAAATAGCCCACCTTCCAGTAAGAATGTCTTGTTTAATTTGCAAAAAATACTGGTACCTTAAAAAAAAAAAGAGCAAGAGATGGCATTTAGCATTTACTGTAATCACAACATTCAGGGTTTAAAAATTGTATACTTATATTAACTAATAAAATTGAAATATTTAAATATTTGCTTTTATAATCTACATATTAGCACATGTAAAGATATTTTTAAATAAGTTTTCATAACTTCATGAATCCTAATCTTTAAAATTCTTTGATAAATGAAATTCTGTACTTCAAATAACTTGTTTCCGCTAGCTTCTATTATAAAAACTCAAGATCTTTAAAGAGTTATGTGACTGAGAAAGATTAGGGAGAATACTCTGAAGATTGGTGTTTGCAGAAATTAGAACTGGGCAATCGAAACTTGAGTCAGAGACATAGGAGAGCTGACAGTAGCAATGCACTAGAGATCAAGTGGAGAAAGTCATCCTTTCTGCAGAGACAGAATGCGAGGTGCAAAGACAGGTATGGTCATCTTATCATTATGCTGCTGGAAGCTGCTAAATGTAGAAAAGGACCATTCCATTTTCATTTGATTTAAGAAAGCTCTTTATGATCAGAATCAAAACAAAACAAAAAACTTAAGCTCCCTTCCCTACTATCAGAATTGCCAAGTACCTAAAGTCCTTTAAAACCAACAAAAATATAAATTTCTATTAAAAAGAATGCTGATATTGCTTATAAGATGGTATTGTCTTCCTGTCCCCACTAGTAAATCATTCCCTCCGAGATATGTCAATGCTTGCAAGAAGTCATCTGTGCTGTGTGACACTGGCATAAGACCAAATTTTGTGCCTTTAAAAAATGCTTAAATAGGGAATTTAAGACTTAGTTTTATCCCACTGAAAAAAGTATACATACTCCAAGAATCAAAAATCAGGTTTAACAATTTCAATTGTCAGGCTGATTAAAATTATTAAAGAGCTCCATGACAATATTCAAAATACCAAAAAATGTAATTAAGGATTTCAGAGAATCAGATAGTCCCTAAATTTTTTTTTTAAAAAGTTGATACAAATATTTGGCTTCACATATTAATGAAGTACATAACTCCCTGTGAGAATTAATATGTAATATTGTAAATATTACCTACGTATTCAATTTAAGACAATACATTTCTACGTAGGTTACTTGGTTTCATAATTAAAAGTTAAAGGTTCCTGGTAGGAACAAATCTTATAGTTAAGATTGAAAAGGCATCTATATTCTTTTTTTTTTTAATAAGCATTTTTTTTTTAATTTGACAGACAGATCACAAGTAGGCAGAGAGGTAGGCAGAGAGAGAGAGAGGAAGGGAAGCAGGCTCCCCGCTGAGCAGAAGGCAGAGGCTTTAAACCACTGAGCCGCCCAGGCGCCCCAGGCATCTATATTCTTAACATAATACTGTAACTCTTATATACATAATACCTATGCCTGCTGAATTTTATTTATATACCACCCAGTAAGAACTGAAGTGGAAAGCAAAATTCAAGTCCTGGCTAAACCAACCAGTGCTCTTTAGAAAATCAATTAAAGGTTGAACCTTCGTTTCTATATTTGTAAAAAAACGACGAATATCACTTGTCGAGTACGTGTATCCCATAGGCCCTAAATAAGGTGATAAAAACACAATTTTTAAAGACAATTAAAACTTTTATGATTGACTTATTTGGCTTAGCATAATAGCCTCTAGTTCCACCCACGTCATTGCAAATGGCAAGACTTTTAAGATAGTTTAAAAAGTCTGAGGTAAATATAGAAATGATATGTTTAATCTGTGAAAATAATACAACTTTTCTAATCCAGACAATAACCAATACCATAAGCACTTTTTACATACTGAGTATACCTAAGCACAAAAACGGTACCAAAGAAATGTCATCTGTAGTGTCATGACTCCTGAGAAAACTCCAATTCTAAGGATGCCAGCACCTGCTAATACCAAATGACCTGTAGGCTCTGTAGGCCCACTCTTTCATACGACTATCTAGAATGGAATCTCAAGGTAAGGAGGTGTGGCATGCTTCCTATTTTGTGGGTTTAAACTAGTCCTTAAAATTTAGCAAATGCAGCTGAAGTTGTCATATTATTAATCATGACCACTGCATTAAGGCTATCAAGCACTAAAATTTTAAAGGGGTATTTCTTAAACCTGCCTAACAGAATCACCTGGGAAGTTTGTAATAATGTCTATGCACAGGTTCCATCTGAGACCTAATTAAATCAGAGTATCTCAGGGGTATGACCAAGGCACCAGTATGTTTTTAAGCTCCCCTAAGTGAGTCTCAGCTGTAGTGAGGGTAGAGATTCACTGATATACTCTATGGTAATATAATAAAAAGTCATTTTACCAAATACCACCAGTTACAAGCCTCCAGGACATTCTATCATAAAGGACTTTCAAAAGAATACATTATTTTGAGTGAAAACAAAAATAATACTCTAGACAACAGACTGAGCACAAAGTAATTGCTTGATTACTACCAAACTTGGCTTTCCCTTCTTCTACTTCAGGAAGATATTATGACTTAATTATCACTGAGATACATTTATTCCTTGACTATGTTTTAAACACAGGTTATAAAAGAATCAACACATTCAAGCTCTATAGAAATTCAAATATATTATTTTGAGTGAAATAAATTATGAATATGGCTGCAAATGACAGTATTTTAAATGCTTGCTAACAAACTTTTCATAAATATTAAAAACATTAGAAATCCAATTTTAAATTATTGGTCTTTTAATTACAACTATTTCTTCTACATTAAAACTCTGATTACAAAAATACTGATTATGGAATACTTTGCTACTTGATTTCAGATTACATTTACCAGGAAATAGCAAAATGTAATTAAAAATGTTTTATAATTTACAATTTCATTAATTCAGTAGTTTCCCTGAAGTTAAGCCAAAATTAGGGAAAGTTTCATAATACTAAGAATTATTTATTATGATAAAAGATTTTGTTATTTTAATTAACAAAACTTGACTGATTAAGAGCTGTAATATTAAACTGAAGATTATTCATATAATACAACTTTGCTTTGCAAGATAAATTACTCTGGAAATATTATTAGTTTTGAATGTTAGGACTGCCTAATCCAAGGCCTACATTCCTAAATTCTGTTATAAAAAAGGTTAACAACCTGCCCTCAACAAACACACAGAAAAGGACTCTCAAGAATGTCAATCTAACTCTTCTTACCTGGTCTACTGAAAACCCTATTTTATAAACACCTGAGGATTGCCAGATACAGCTAAATATCTTTAATTTATTCTTCTGTTGCTTCACATCACCACAGTATTCTAAACAATGGCCATCACGGTAACATCTCCCAGCCTATCTACAGGTAGCTTTAAGTACAGATTGCTAATTTAGCACCTACCTTTTAGAGTAATTCTGAATATAATCACTGACCGATATTCTTATATGAGACTTTTATGGAAGGTCTTATATGCTAATGTTTCATTTAGTCATTTTAAAAAAAAACCTAATTACTAATTCTGTCTTTCAAGCAATACACAAGATTCAGGTACAGATACCACACTGTAATTATTCCCAGTTTTACCTTAAACAGCTCACCTAACATTCATACACTTTCACAATGCTCATCTGAGTCATTCTTGTGTACATTTTGTCAAGTGGAAGTGACAAGAAAAATCAGATTGTGAGTCAAGAGCAGACTTAAGGTGGAGAATAAAGTGGGCACTTAAAAGTGTACTGGTGTAATCCCTGCCAACATCCCTTAAAAAAGGTACCTGCTCACCTGAAACTAACAACAATGTATGTTAATTATACTTCTAAGGAAAATGGTAGGAATGAAGGAAAAAAATAAAAGACTTTGAATCTTAGCAAAAGGGGACTACAGATTCTATTTTCAGAGGAAAAAAAGGTACCTGTTGACCATTACACATAATGGTTGCATATTTTACATATTTTTCCAAATTCTACGTTCTCCTCAATAGAAATAAAAAACAAAGAGAATATGCTTTTACATGAAAAAAAAAAGCAGACACAATTCTCACTATGCAGCATCACCTGGATACAATTATATTATCTTCTGATTACCTCAAGTAGTTACAGCAGTACTTCTTAACCATGTTTTTACAAGTAGAAAAATCTAATTTCATATGGTTCAGGAGGCTGCTCATGGCTGAATGGGGTGGCCTTGGGCCTCCAATCTCTTAAAGCCCTCCCAGCCATCCAAGAGGAGAGGAAACATGAAAGATCCATAATCCATTCTGTGTGATGACTGGGAATATCAGAATTACACACCATGACAATATTTCTACCTAAATAATTTCAAAATTTTGTAACAGCTCTGACAATATTTTCAGGAAAAATATGCTCCATAAACCCACCTTGTATATTCTTCTTGTAACTTGTTGGGGTCACTTACAAAAAATTTGACTCTAAAGTTCAAATTGTAAGGAGATCCTCCTAGAATTAATAAAAGCAGTTCTAATTAATCAGATTATATTAATCCTTTACCTTTAGAAAGTATACTTGTAAAATGTCAAGTAAATATGTATGCTCACTCTTTAGCTGCTTCCTTATTGGTTTGTTTGGATCCAGCCACCGCTGAAAAATAAATAAATAAAAACTGATTTCTTTTCCCTTGAGGAAATAATATATCAATTCTTGCAAATTTGTAATATTTGAAGATCCATGGTAAAAACTGCATCTTGAAAACACTCTAGGAAAAAATAATTTACAGATGTTCATACCAAGAATAGCAAAATTACACTAGAAAGTAATGAATGTATTTGTGGTAGCTCTGAGTTTTTTATTTGAATTTCCCATGAAATTATACAGTGTATAGTAACCTCTTTTCCTAAAAGAAAAATCCTTAATAATAGCCATCTGAAGTGAGTCCTGTTAATTTCACTATATTATATAATTAGTGTGGCAAGTTTTTAGAATTCTTGGTATCTTTCATAAAATCTAGTTGACCTTACATTCTCCTTCAGACAAAATCTAACTACCCGTCATGAAAATACACTCTTGAGAAAGATTTTCTTTTCCTTTTTTTCTAAAGTAGACTCCACACCCAGCATAGAGCCCAATGCGGGGTTGAACTCACAACCCTAAGATTAAGACCTAGCTGAGAGCAAGAGTCAGACATTCAACCAACTAAACCACCAAGGCACCCCAACTCTTAAGAAAAACTTTCTAACTTCTACTTATTCCCTCAAAAATAAAACTATCTCCCCTTGCCCAACAACAACAAACCCACACTGATTTTCTAAGAGATAATGTTTAGTTTGCAGGTGTGTTTGTTTGTTTAGGTGTGAGAATTTTAAGTAACCTCAACATTTCAGAATGCCAGTTGAGCTCTACTTTAAGAAAAGTATAACTAAATTCAGACTGCCAACATGTTTCAGTTAAAAAAAATTAAAGAACCCAGGGGCACCTGGGTGGCTCAGTGGGTTAAAGCCTCTGCCTTCAGCTCAGGTCATGATTTCAGGGTCCTGGGATAGAGCCCTGAATCGGGCTCTCTGCTCGGCAGGGAGCCCGCATTCCTCCTCTCTCTCTCTGCCTGCCTCTCTGCCTACTTGTAAAAAAAAGAAAAAAAAAAAATTAAACAGCCCAAAATGGGTATTAGATGTGGCAGTATTTTCAAAGCACCACATTAGTATCAACTTATGTATTATTATGTATAATAATACATAATACTCCTACCACCCATACTTGATTCCATGCACAGTACACAGATTTTAATAACAAATGGCTGAGAATAATCCATAAATCTTCCCTTTCCACTATCCACAACAACCAACACATCAAATCCAGCTGATTCTTCCTTCCAACTATACCTTGAATTTAACAGTTCTCCATCCACTCTGCCACCATCTTTATGTCTGGGATAGCTCTGGCCATAGCCTCTTGTTGTTGTTGCTTTTAAGATTTATTTATTTTAGAGAGAGTGTGTGTGCACATGCACACTGCGGGGAGAAGCGGAGGAAGAGAGAGAGAGAGTGAGTCCCCAAGCAGACTTGGAGCTGATTGCAGAGCCTAACAAGGGGCTCGATCCCATGACCCAAGATAACAACCTGAGCCAAAACCAACAGAAACTTAACTGTCTGAGCCACCGAGGCGCCCCTGGCCATAGCCTCTTAACTGCTCTCCCTGCTTGTTTTCTTACCATGTTCTTCTTCATTCTCCATCACAAAGCTAGAGTAATCGTTCAGAACATGTCACTTCTTTGCTTAATAGCTCTTGATAATTTCTCAACACAAGGTCCAAAGTCCCTGCTAGAGGCTTACATGATCACTTCTTACCTCAACTTACTAAGCTCCAGCCATAATGGCTTCTCATCTGTTTCTCACAGATGCCATCCTAGGGTCTTCAAATGAAGGCTTCATTATGCACAAAATGTCCTCCAAATTTCTCATAGCTGACTTCCTTTAAGTCTCAGCTTAAATGCTACCTCCTCAGAAAGGCCTTCACTGGCTGTCACTGATCCCCCTACCAGAAGTACATCACAAAGCTCCTATTTCCAGGGCGCCTTGGTAGCTCAGTTGTTAAGCAACTGACTTCAGCTGAGGTCATGATCCTAGTGTCCTGGGATCAAGCCTGGAGTCAGGCTCCCTGCTCAGCGGAAAGCCCGCTTCTCCCTCTTCCACTCCCCCTGCTTGTGTTCCCTCTCTTGCTGTCTCTCTGTCAAATAAATAAACAAAATCTTAAAAAAAAAAAAAAACAAAAAAAAAAAACCTCTGACTTCTTTAGTTATTTTCTATAAATAGGCAAGGGATATTAATTTCTTTTATAACATTTTCTTAATCGTAATATTTGTTTTGCCTTTTTATTGCCCATCTCCTTCATTAGATTATCAACTCCATGAGGTAAGGGATAAAATCTGATTCATTCAAAGCAGACAATCAGCACATAGGCACAAGTCTTGACATATAATTTGTATTAAAAAAAAATTTGATGGGGTGCCTGGGTGGCTCAGTTATTGGGCGTCTGCCTTCGGCTGGGGTCATCATCCCAGGATCCCGGGATCGAGCCTTGTGTCAGGCTCCTTGCTTGGTGGGGAACCTGCTTCTCCCTCTCCCATTCCCCCTGCTTGTGTTCCCCTCTTTCACTGTGTCTCTCTCTGTCAAATAAATAAATAAAATCTTAAAAAAAAAATTTTTTTTTTAATGAAAGACCGACTAAGCCTGCTGAATGACTCAGCAATTGATACAGGGGTGGGGGTTGGAGGGGCAGTCTGCTTCTATCCCAATAATCAGCTGTTTTTCACCACTACTTAACACATTTGTTTCCCCCCTGCATATCTACCCATTTACCCATCTTCCAACCCATCTATATCACAGTGATTTTATTCTTCATGTTTTCTAGAAAAAGTAATATACTACATTCATTTTAATGCTTGTTTATAATCAAAATTTGGGCTTGAGTTATCTATTCAAAGCCTGTCTTCCACATTTAGTACTCCTGTAAAATATTCTAAAACAGTATCAGAGATACAAACACATTTACATACACAAATAGATGTATTAAGCTAAGAAAGCTTAGAAGGAGTACAATAATAAGTAATGGGAAATTTAACAGACCTCATCAATGATGTCAAAGAGATAGGATTTAGTTTCTTGGCTTAAACCATGAAGATGGAATAATGCTACAATGAGCACTATTGGACAATAAAAATACTGTTCCTAGTAAAAACACATCATTAAGTCAAAAGAGAAAGTGGAAAAACAGACAACATACACATAAGTTCTACAAATCAGTAAGAAAAAACCCAATACTAATAGGAATACAGATAATGGGTAAGAATAGAAAGTTCACAGGAAATATACATAACATTTAAGAAAAAATATTCAATCTTGACCATAATTAGAGAAATAGAGAAGTAATCTACATTAGGTTTTCATTTTTCAGCAATAAGACACTGGCAAGGATTACAACTTTGAATGCCATACCACAATGGCTTCAAGAATGTGGAAACAGGTATATATACAAAGCTCATGAGAATAAAAATTATACCATCTCACTATAGGACAACTGGGCAATATTTATCAAAATATAAACTGTAAATGACCACAGACCCAGCATTATTTTATATAGAATTATATACTGAGATACAGTTCACACAATATAAAATTTTACCATCTTAAAATGTATACTTCAGTGCACTTGAGTACATTCACTATGTTGTATAACCATCAATAGTAAATGCCAGAATACTTACATCACCCCAAAAAAGAAATCCCATATCTATTAGCAGTCAGTCTCAGTAACCCCCCACCCACCAAAGCCCCTAGCAACACTAATCTACTTACTGTCTCTATGGATTTCATTATTTTGGATGTTTCATATGAAGGTAATCATATAACAGGTGGTCCTTTGTATCTAATTTCTTTCATTTATTGTAATGTTTTCAAGGACCATCCATGTTGTGGCATTTAATAGTACCTCATTTCATTTTATAGCTGCCATTTAGGCCTTTTCTATCTTTTGGCTCTCATGAATTACACTGCTACAAACATTCATGAACAATTTTTGTCTGAACATGTCACTCAACTCTCTCCAGTGTATGTCTAGGATTGGTACTATTTGCTTAAATGATAACTATATATTTAACTTTTTATCAAGTATTATCAAGTATCTACCAAGTATTAATAGCTAATAGGGAGGTTCTGGTTCAAGATAGCAATGTAGGAAAATCCTAAACTCACCTCCTCCCATGGACACACTGAATCTAAAAGCTAAATATGGAACTATTTCCTCTGGAAAAAAAAACCCACAAAACTAGATGAATGACTTTCTCCTACTGGGTGAAAGAGAAAAAACTCACATCAAAGTGGTAAGGACAGGCCAAGACACAATCTCACCATAAACCCCACACCCAGCATGGTAACCCACAATCAGGAGGGAACTCGCAATCCCATGTTTCTCCCTACAGAGCAAAGGGTTTGAACCACACATCTGACACCCCAACTTTTAAGATCTGCACCTGAAAAATGAGCATCCCAAACCTCCAGCTTTGATAGCCAACTAGAGCCTGTGACCGTAAAACTTCCAAACTAGAGTAAACTGAGAAACAGTTTTATGTAAAAGAGGCCTATTTGCTTGTGTTGAAGATTTGGCCTTAGGGAAAGGCTTCCAGTTTGGCACACATATAAGAACTTACTTAAGCATTCTCCAGGGAAGGAAGATGGGTGGTACAGTCTTTGTACTCTCTTGCCCCACCCAAGTTGTTGGCGTTGCTAAGAAAGGAGCTTGTGTCTGCTGCCCAGAGAACACACCCTTCAATGGTTTGGCTTTGAGGGCCAGAAGGGCTTGGGCTCACAGGTGAAAGGGGGACAGAAGCAAACAAAAAACAGTTCTTAAATGCCTATCACTCCAGGGCTCCGAACGGAGGGAGCAGACAGAAAAGCCCACCTCCCAGTATTCCCCTAAAAGAGGCATATTTGCACACTTTAAAAGCTGCTGTGGAGGGTACTGCTTCCCAATCAGCCTGAATCTAGGTGCTCACTGAGATGCTCCCCTTTGAGACACTGACAGGTCTTGGCACACCTTTAACTACTGGGAGCCACTAAAAATAAAACAGGCACAAGCTAGGGCAGGGGTGA